CACAAAGGATATGTCGGGCAGCTGCTCGAAGATCTCGCCTTTGGAGAAGACTGTTGATTTTATACTTTAAAAATGTAAGTATTACTACTTAAACATTAAGATTACCCCAGAATGAATTGCATCGTTTGCCCACCCCAACACTTACATGCAATAATAATGATAAATGCTAAACAATAGTTACTTTTTTTTTTATACTTAAAATGAAAAAATATATACTTTTTTGTCGTGACATAGCTATACATAAATATACACTAGTTGAACAAATCGAAATACGATCTCATCTACAGAGGCAGACTCTTTAAGCAAACGCATCGCAATAGATACTAAGACAGCAGGTAGACAAAGAGGTGACCGAATCAAAGCAGGTAGACAAAAGGTGAGAGAAGTGAGCTTAATATCAGTACAACATACTATAAACCCCACATAAGCAGCAGCCTCTGATGCTGGAAATGTTAGTTTGCTGCCAGTCCTTGCCTGTGTTTGTGTGTGTGTGTGTGTGTGTGTGTCTGACAGTGAATAAACAGAAAACCAAATGATTTCACTTCGTTCTGCAGAAACATCATTTTAAAAAAAAAGCAAAAAAACAAGTTCTTCATCTTCAAAGACTGCAAATAATGTTTAAGGATATGTTAAGGCTGTGATAATGTGCTTAAAAAGTTCAATCTTCACGACCTGCTGGAAGACCTCGCTAGGTTGTTATCCTATAGTTGCTAGCTTCATGTGACGTCTCTCTGGAAGTTGTAAAGACATTCTCTGCCACTCAAAAAGCTGTTGCCATGATGGCCGGTTCGAAGTGTTACATGTCAGAGCCAGGAACAGTCTCTTTGTTTGTATATGATGAGCTGGCAAAGGGTTCAGTGAGGGCACCTCTTTTGCCCGTGTTTGGGCCGTCCACCATATTCAGTGGCAACATGCAGTGTGACGGGCAGTCTTGACATCAGCAGGGCCACGCCTACTTTTTTTTTATTCGTTCAGTTTCCCCCGAGGCCGTTCCCAAAAACAAACATAAAACTTTTGGACTACATAAACCCCGGTGATGACACCAAAGGGTGATAGTACCCAAATGAAAGGACGAACATAGCAAAACTATTAGAATCTACTATATATTGTTTACACACCACAATGGAACTATTTTGGAACAGCTAAGTGGACGTGTCAATGAACAAAAGGGGACAAAAAACAAAACAAATTCACAGCCTTGTCCCAGCAGGCAAATCTTAAAGTTATAGTTCACGCCAAAATGAAAATTCAGACATTGTTTACTCAACCTCACATCTTTCCAAATGCATATATACCTATGAGTTTTCTGTTGAATACAAAGTAGAAAGTTTGAGAAATATTTAACATTAAATGTGCGGTCACATTTACTGTTGTTCAGCAAAATTTTGCGGCTGAAATCCAGTTATTTCAATAGGAATATATGCAATTGACTGGGAATTTCACAAAAGATTTCTCCCCGAATAAACTCAAGTTGGTCACGCAGATTTGCCGCATTGATAAACAGAAAGCTTCTTGGGTTCATACATCGCAACACTATTGACAATAAATTGTGCATGCTTTTTGCGCACAAAGTTTTGTCAAAATTTCTGCATCTTAAAAATACAATTTTTATCTATTTTATACTTTTACATTTTTGTTTTAAAATGTATATTTTATATTTATATTATAGTCATATTTTTATATGTATATATCCTATTTAAAGGAATAGTTCACCCAAAAATTTTGCCATCATTTACTCTCTTGTCGTTCCAAACCTGTGTAAGTTTCTCTCTTGCTATGGAAGTCAATGGGGACCATCAACTGTTTGATAACCAGCAAGAAAGAAACTCATACAGATTTGGAATGACATGAGGGTGAGTAAATGATGACAAAATGTAAATTTTTGGGTGAACTACCCCTTTAATGATATTGACTACTGTCAAACTCCAAAAAAAGCACCATTAAAGTACCATAAAAGTGGTTAATATGACTCATCCTCTATATTTCATATCACATGACTACAGTAGACTTGTGCACAAGTCACATGGATCACTTTTACGGTGGTTTCGGAACGATGATCATGGAATGACACGAGGGTAAGTAAATAACAGAATTTACATTTTTGCATTAACTTCTCCTTTAAAAGTCATTCCAACGGTGATAAATGCTAACAAATGACAAAAAATGAGCATTTTTGACACACATCCCCTATACCCCAAGGACTCCAAAGCTGAGAGAAGACAAAGCTCATGGACAGGACAGAGACGGAGAGGAGAGTCTTATCTAAGGGCCACCTAAATACAGTGCAACCCTCCATCTCTGTTCACTTTTTCTTTGCCCTCTTTTTTAGAGAGGTTACATTTGTTTTATCTTCCTGCATCGGACATTGGTTTCCATTCCCCCACCCCACCCAATCCCTCTGGCTCTTTTCCTTCTGCCTGTCCTTACACCACCTTGGTGGTGGTGACCCGGACGCTGCTGAAGCACTTTCCCATGGCTTCGAAGAGCGGGTCGCAGAAGGTGTGCACACAGATGGAGTAGACTCGACTGACACAGTGGATCTCGATTAGGTAGCTCTTCACGCAAGGCACCACCGCCCAGATGTGGATGAAGGAGAGGATGGCGAAGAAGATGCCCCATACCAGGGCGAGCGGGATGCCCACCAGGGCCGTCAGCAGCCTGTAGCACCAGTATTTGGTTACTGTGAAGGTGGTGAAGCTCGCTTTCCACACGCCGTCAAAGCTGTAGGTGCCAGCAGGCTCGGCGATCACGTCCTCAAAGTCCACCTGGAGATGAAAGGGATTTCAGCATTATATCATTTTGTATCGGAATTGTACAATTTTGTACACAATAAAACTATTTTAATTTTGCACAACTGGTTTCCAACTAACCCATATTTTACAATATCATGATCAAAACTTTTTCTGAACATCCTTAATCTACTGCATGTCTTCTGCTTCCTGGTGGATTATCCATAATCTTCAGGTAGTAAAAAAACTTTTAATAAAAAACAAACAAAAAAAACAAACATATATATATATATATATCTGCCTCTGTGCTGCAATACAGATATTTTTGCTTGGGAATCTTTGCTTATTCAAGAATAACTTTTAAATTATTATTGTTATTTCAAAATATATTAAATAATAAATATTTCATAAACTATTTACAGAAAGAAATGTATATATAATAAAAACATTATATAACTGCATAAATACAGCTGTATTTACATTGTTTATAATATGAAATTATTATTATTATTATATTTTATTTATAATTTTCTATATTATTGTTTATAATCTATCTATCATTTCTAAAAACCTAAATACATTCAAATATATATGTATAATTATAATAATAATATTATATTATAAAGATATAACTACAGACATAAAACTTAATATATATTTACATTATTTATAATATATATAACTTATATTTTAAATTATATTTTACTTATAATTTTCTATATTATCTTTGTCTACCTTATTTATAATCAGTCTATCTATCTATCTATCTATCTAAATATTTAAATACATACAAATATATCAGAATCAGAATCAGAATGAGCTTTATTGCCAATGAGCTTTATATAAAATTAAATCAACCGATAGATATAAAATAATAAATCTATTTTAGTCATTACTGTAATGCATTTCATAATGTGTAATGCCAACCACAATTAAACTAAAAATAACATTAAAATATTTAAATATGAATTTACAAAGATATATTAAAATATACACATGTATGTATTTATGTATGATTTTATATAATCCGTCTTTCTCCAAACGATTCGTCCAATGAGGGGTCATGGGCCTATTCATTTCATTTATTTATTTTAAAAAATTTAATTATTCATTATTACATTTTTTTCTTTTTTGTTTTGTGTAAATGATAAAATAATAAATGAACAAAAACTGGAGTATTTCTGCATGTCCTCATCCATATTAAGCAGACTGACATTAAGAAAAGCAGCAGGACTCTTCGTCCTCCTCCCCTCCAGCCGTCTCCACATTCCTCACAGACAGCATCTTTACATTGTCCAGCAGCTTCACTCAGACCGGTACCACCCAGTTCATGCCCAAGTTACCGTGCTCTAAACGTCCCGTACTAACCGCAGACGGGATCACCAAACACTAACATTTACGAAAGACGTGTATCTATAAATCTCATTTAACAAGCCCTGCAAAGCTTGGTTTAGATGTTCCTAGAGCTGGCAAACCTCACACCATCACAGTACAGCAGTACACTTGCTTTTCAATGCAGATGTGTTTATTTCAGTTGATTATACAGGGAAAAAGCACACACAAACACACCCCGTCCTTCACAGTCACACGTCAAAGTCAAGATTAAGCTAATATTTATTTAACAACTCCTTTTTGAGCAAGCTAGTCAACGAAACATAGCTGAATTTCTTCTAATCGAAAGACAGCTTGTTGTTTACAGTGATCTTTCAACTGATAGTCACTAAGTATGAATTTTTTTTCCCATTCTTAAAAGACCAGTTGAGACTTTTTATGCATAGTCTTGTTGTTCACTAGGAAAAAAATGCTGGTTAACCAACACAATCTAATAAAGCTTGTTGACCAATAAAGGCTTGCTGGTTAAGTTAGTTAAGAAGTCATGTCTGGACGAAAAGGTAGAGTGTTTTAGAGTAAACTGAAGTTCCTGTAAGAGTAAAATGATAAATTACTACTTGTCCAAGGGCTTGAAACCATCATGGCTCAAGTTGGCAAAGAAACGCTAAATTATACAGTCTTACATAAGCCTGTCCTCCACATTCATTTATCTACAGTATATCCCAATTGGCCGGACACATAGTTTCCATTAGTTGAATATTACAACCATGACTTTCAACAAAGTTAAAATAAACAGTTCTTGAGCTGACTGCACAGTGTTGTCTGATAACACCCTCACTGTACTGACAGAAGTATCCACTTGCGTTCTTCAGTCTTGGGGGCTTGTGATTATATGACTCATCCACATAGCTCATAAATCACCAGTGTGCAGTGCAAAGTTTATGGAGGAGTACGAGTGCCACTTAAAAGTGAAATCAACGTCAATTTAGTCATTTAAAAATCACTATATAAATCACTTTTCAAACTGACAGATAGCAGATATATTTAAAAATGTTAATTTAATAATGTCTAAAAATGCAATAAAACAAACTCTTAATATTTCCTCTATAAAAAAGGTCTTACTTTGACAGCTCGTCACTGGGAGTTATCAATGCAACCAATCCTTCAAAATGAATGCATGTAGGATTTCACAAACTCGTGCCACAGTCGCAGCATTTCACATTGCAAATACAGCTGCTCCAGTGATAATTGTTGGGAAATCCAGCTTAAGCTGGTAGCTGTAGAACAGCTGGTTTCTAGCTGCTCTAAGGCTGAGTGTATTTCTATATCATCTGTTGACTTTTCTTTCTGAGAAAGTTGCTATGCAAGGCATCGCCCCAGGCCCAGGAAATTTTTCACGAAGAATGTTAGGTGTGCAGTCTTTGTTCAAAAACAGGAAACTCTTAATATTTCCTCTATAAAAAAGGTCTTACTTTGACAGCTCGTCACTGGGAGTTATCAATGCAACAGATCCTTCAAAATGAATGCATGTAGGATTTCACAAACTCGTGCCACAGTCGCAGCATTTCACATTGCAAATACAGCTGCTCCAGTGATAATTGTTGGGAAATCCAGCTTAAGCTGGTAGCTGTAGAACAGCTGGTTTCTAGCTGGTCTAAACTGGTTGACCAGCTACCCTGCTCTAAAAACCAGTTTGACCAGCTGGTTCAAGATGGTCTATGATGTTGTACCAGCTAAAGTAGGAACACCAGCACTCCAGAATCCAATGATAGGAACCAGGTGAGAGCAGATTCAAGTGCGTTTAAGGTTTTACAAGTAAAATAATGGATTACAATTCAAAAGAACTTAAAACCAACATTGTATCAGTTTTCAAAGACAGCTGCTGCTTGCAGTAATTGTTTCCAGTGCCACCGTGACAAACTGACCACTGACTCACCACTTATGATACGAAGCCAAGCTTTCTGTTGAGCTATAATGCGAAACTATTACGATTTTTTAGCAGTATGCACGAATTGTAATGTTCTCCGAACATGTTTCTTAATATTAACAATACATAACATTTAATAATTATAATATTTAGACAATAATACAAACAGTTTGGCCTATTAATAAATTACATTTTGTAATTTGTATAAAATATCACATATACTAAAACAAAGTCGCATGCATGCACTTGTTTCATATTACGTTATACTATTGCTGCACTTATCTACATGAGTGAATTTCTAAGTCTTTTATTATTATTAAAGTGACATAAAGTTTAAAAGTTGCATAAAGCAGAAAAAAGTTCGTGGAATGACTTACCTTCACCACATCGGCATTTAAATGCTTTGGGTCCCGGTTGACCAGGTCAATCTCTTTGGTGTGGACATCCTGAAGTGTCTTTTCGTTGATGCTGTCGTTATCCATTTCTTTATTATTTGGTTTGTAAATGTTCCCCTGTTTCCTGATGAACGGTGAGTGAGCGTAGTCCTGCGGTTCCAAAGAAAACAGAAAATGAAGTTCATGAGCGTGGAGGGGAGACTGGGGCGCAACTCAGCACTGCCCTGGCATGGGATGGTTTTAAGCGGATAGAAATGAAGCACCACACCCCTCAGGAACACAGCGGAGCGACCCGCCGCACGGGGGCGCCATTTTACATTGTGCGCGACGCGTGCTCTTCTCGTATTCCGCAGCAGAAAATACACTCGCAATTTAAAATATTTACCCATTGGAACGTGTTTAAAATATGTTAGTTATTCTGAACTAAAAAAAGTTCTTAAGAAGTAATTGCATTGCGCTTCGACAACATTATATTGGATTAGTGAACAGTTCATCATTTAGCTAATATTATTATTAGCCAATATTATGCGAAAGTGTGCATATAGTGAACAATGGAGGGAGACGTGCGGCTTGCCGTACAAATACATGCCAGAAAAAGATAAGACCTCAAATTAGCCAACATGCGCGGAAAAACGCCAGTTGTAGAGCAAGTGCCAACACCGCCTTCATGTGATGATAATCCCCTAAAAGTGTTTGAGTAACAAGTAGCCAACTCAGCTAAAGGTTTATTGCATAAATGACTCAATAAAGCCTGAATTGACATAAAAAATAAAAGACTTCTGAGGTAAAATAGGTGTCATTCTCACCTCTTCAGGTGCCCCGTCCTTGTATCCGCTAGTCATGCTGTCCCGTGCCTAAAGTGCGTTCAGATGAGTGTGTGGAAACAAGACAATCAGTAGAGAGGAAGCTGTGTGTGTGGGAGGCGTGGGGAATGGGGATATTGCTTACAGTGGGGGAGTCCTTTCCCTTAAAACAGCCCTCTTTTCTGCATACTAAAGTCCAATAAAGCTTTTATCTACTGAGTCGTGTTTTATCTCTTCTGGAGTCTCTCATGGCATAAAGTGGGAGTTCCTCTCTCAGTCACCGAGGACTAGCTGTGTGTTGAATGAATGAGACTGAAACCCTCCATTAGCCTGCCACTCATAGAGCTACGCAGTTAGTGGTTGGATATTTTGACGTGATTTTTCCCAAATGGGAGGCATATTTGGGCACTGTACCAACTTCTTATGAACGAATCCCATGTAGCCTACACTACAGAAACATCCACTCGTTTTTCATTAGCACTATTTTCCAGTGTAATGGTAAGTCATCACAATTAGGCTATAAAGCAACAAAATGGAGGAGGTAGGCTATGAGGATTGTATAGTGACCAAAATTAAATGTTAAACAAATCAAACTAACTTATAATTTAGCTACTCAAGTAGCCAACCTACTATCTTACATATCTAAGGTGCATCTTGAGATGGTTTTCAAAAAAGTATTAAGTATGCTGAACACTTATTGGCTACTTTTCTCAGTCCAACTTAACCACAAAAGTTTTAGTTCTGCATGGAAATTCATACTGACTTGAGGTGTATATAAACCGGAAATGTGACTATTCTAAGGTTGGTTTGCATACCGAAATGTACCTCAAGGCAAGACTTGCACTTAGTTTGGAATGTTTTCAGCAACAATAACACTGCAATCTGGTTTTTCTCATATTTGTCCAACTTTACTATCATTTACTTTACTTATCTATATATTTTAGTGTGCATTTACTGTACCTAACAAGTATTTGTGTATCTAGGTCAGGTCCTGGCAAAGTGAGGGATGTGACGGGCAATGCAAAATATGCAAAAAAACTACGATAGTGGTAAGGTCACTCTCACTGTAGCTCAGGTAAAAAGCAACACTTTTTTAAAATAATAAACCTATTCTACAAAGTCAAAATGCATAATGAAACATTTAATAAAACCTAGCTTTTAAGAGCTCAATAGAACACTTAGATCCTTCTACAAAAACATACACTTTATGCAGGTACACCGTTATCCTCGGGCATATCTGCTGCATTGAACATGTCACCCGGAGGACTTTTCTCATTGCACAAGTCATTAAATCTTGTCAGGTTAACATTCCATGTGCCACACACTGATCTCCATGGTATGGTCTCTCAGCAAAGAAAACAATCTATCCTTTAACTTCCAAAAATAATTTTATTTGCTGAACTGAGAGACATTTAGTTCTGTCTTTCTTAAGCTTAGCTGTGTTCAGCATGTTTGCTACATGACATCATTCAACAGGGGCGAGGAAACGGCACCTGAGCCTCTAATGTTCCATTTCACAGTCAAATATTCCATTTACTCTGCGGAGCCACTAACAAAGCACAATCAATGGCAAACAGCATGTCAAATGTGGCTTTGCAAGTCAAACTAATCGCCATTTGGGTGAATTTTTATCATTATAAAAAGAAGTCATTAATACAGAAGAAAATGAAATGTGTTATATTTGTATAGAAATGCTCTTTATAATAGGAATGTACCTAAAAAAACACTGATCTCCATGGTATGGTCTCTCAGCAAAGAAAACAATCTATCCTTTAACTTCCAAAAATAATTTTATTTGCTGAACTGAGAGACATTTAGTTCTGTCTTTCTTAAGCTTAGCTGTGTTCAGCATGTTTGCTACATGACATCATTCAACAGGGGCGAGGAAACGGCACCTGAGCCTCTAATGTTCCATTTCACAGTCAAATATTCCATTTACTCTGCGGAGCCACTAACAAAGCACAATCAATGGCAAACAGCATGTCAAATGTGGCTTTGCAAGTCAAACTAATCGCCATTTGGGTTAATTTTTATCATTATAAAAAGAAGTCATTAATACAGAAGAAAATGAAATGTGTTATATTTGTATAGAAATGCTCTTTATAATAGGAATGTACCTAAAAACCATAAATAGTTTATTCACTGAAATGCCATCAAATCATTTAATTTACTCTTCTTGATAAATCATCTCCAAAGAATATAAATATTAACTCAGGAATCGCACAACACTACAGCCCTATTGGAAGTAGTTGCATAATTTTTTCCTTACAAGCACATCATACACTTATTGCAATATTATATTTACTGTAGTAGCACAATATCTTAAAGTAGTTCATCCTTAAATGAACATTTGTTGACACTTTACTCACTCTCAGGCAATCGAAGATGTAGATGAGTTTTCTCTTCCGAACTAATTTTGAGAAATTTAGCATTACTACTTGCTCTCTAATGGATCCTCTGCAGTGAATGGGTGCCGTCAGAATGAGAGTCTAAACAGCTGATAAAAACCTCACAATAATCCTCAAGACTTCAGTCTTTCAATTAATATCTTGTAAAGCAAAAAGTTGTGTGTTTGTAATAATTCCACATATTTGGAATTAATTGCAATATTATGGATTATGGCCTCATACTTTAGCCCGGAAGCAACTGTTTGAAGGTAAAAATGTCTTGATGAATTTATTACAAACATACAGCTTTTCACTTCACAAGACTTTAATAGATGGACTGGAGTCGTGTTGATTACTTGTGGATTTTTGAGATGTTTTTATCAGTTGTTTGAACTCTCATTCTGACGGCACCCATTCACCGCAGAGGATCCGTTGGTGAGCAAGTGATGTAATGCTAAATTTCTCCAAATCTTTTCTGATGAAGAAACAAATTCATCTACATCTTAGATGACCTGAGGGTGATTTCATTTTCAGCACATATTCATTTTTGGGTGAACTATTCCTTTAAGTCTAAAATCTCAATCATTACATTATAATCTTTGAAAAGTCTTGCATTATATATATATAACAAAAGCTTAATTAGACTTAACAGAACTGAAAAAGCATGTCAGCATTACGAGGCTGATGTGTCAGTGCCAAAACAACGGAATGAATATTGCAACTGTGCATTGAAATGAAAGAAAACGTATTTTTAACTCAGGAATCGCACAACACTACAGCCCTATTGGAAGTAGTTGCATAATTTTTTCCTTACAAGCACATCATACACTTATTGCAATATTATATTTACTGTAGTAGCACAATATCTTAAAGTAGTTCATCCTTAAATGAACATTTGTTGACACTTTACTCACTCTCAGGCAATCGAAGATGTAGATGAGTTTTCTCTTCCGAACTAATTTTGAGAAATTTAGCATTACTACTTGCTCTCTAATGGATCCTCTGCAGTGAATGGGTGCCGTCAGAATGAGAGTCTAAACAGCTGATAAAAACCTCACAATAATCCTCAAGACTTCAGTCTTTCAATTAATATCTTGTAAAGCAAAAAGTTGTGTGTTTGTAATAATTCCACATATTTGGAATTAATTGCAATATTATGGATTATGGCCTCATACTTTAGCCCGGAAGCAACTGTTTGAAGGTAAAAATGTCTTGATGAATTTATTACAAACATACAGCTTTTCACTTCACAAGACTTTAATAGATGGACTGGAGTCGTGTTGATTACTTGTGGATTTTTGAGATGTTTTTATCAGTTGTTTGAACTCTCATTCTGACGGCACCCATTCACCGCAGAGGATCCGTTGGTGAGCAAGTGATGTAATGCTAAATTTCTCCAAATCTTTTCTGATGAAGAAACAAATTCATCTACATCTTAGATGACCTGAGGGTGATTTCATTTTCAGCACATATTCATTTTTGGGTGAACTATTCCTTTAAGTCTAAAATCTCAATCATTACATTATAATCTTTGAAAAGTCTTGCATTATATATATATAACAAAAGCTTAATTAGACTTAACAGAACTGAAAAAGCATGTCAGCATTACGAGGCTGATGTGTCAGTGCCAAAACAACGGAATGAATATTGCAACTGTGCATTGAAAGAAAGAAAACGTATTTCTCTTCTCTGGGCTTCAGAAGTCAAGGATAAATAATCCTTCAGCTAATAATCCTCCAAAAGGAGGCCACAACATTGTGACAAACAGATTCTGCAACACTTCTATGCTGAGTTAGATTTGCTCAGTTTTGCACAGTTTTGACATTAATGGACGACAAGCACCGTCCAATGCTGAAGAAGAACGGCCCAATGAACATGTCCATCAGGCTGGTCCAGATCACGTGGATGGAGGGCAGTGTCATCATGCAGCCCTGGATCACTGGCATCACCACCCTGCGGAGGGAAAACAGCTTATCATCATGTGTGCTGATATATAAGACTTATAACAATCATATCAAGGTGAAACTGTTCCTCTCTCTTTGTTCTGGGGTTAAAATATAGCCTGGAACATGTGTGAAGCATTAACCTTCCTATCAGATGGTTCCAATAATCATCACCTTTGATATTGTTAACAGTCAGCACATATGCAAGATCTGTCCGTCAGCATGACTGGCCCATAACAAACTTAACAAGCATCATTCATGTCTGTAACATTTTAGCATGTTGCAATGCAATTGCTTAGATGTTCTAGGTGGTTGAAGTAAAAACAGCCCATTTCCAAGTCTTTTTGATAATTGCTTTCTTTTTTTCACTTGTTTTGGCATCTACCAGGGTACAATTTAAATGCAGACAAGAACACACCTGTCTTCAACAAGCCACATAATTCGTCATCCAATATAGCACCTTACACTTGCAATATTCACCAAGTAGGCTTCTCTTCTCCTTTTGAGCTACACTGACATCTTGACATTAGATCTTATCTGGCTAATTTGTCAGGTCTACTCATTCCTAAGCTAATGGGGTCACTCTGCTACTGCAGGGTTGTTAAGTTTACAAACATCCACATGTGCTAATATTTCACCTAAGGAACACTGACCCTGAAAATGCTCCTGATTTAAACTACACAAGGGTCAAGCGCCAAGTTTCTGCTTGCATGTGTCAAACCGTTAAGAGGCCGGAGAAAAACACATGACTAGAATGCTAACAATCCAGTGTGAGTTATGTGCGGATTTTTCCACCGTGGAAATGCAGGCCCACCTGTGCTCTGCAAAACTAATATGCAAGACTTTCTCTGTGGTATTTTTTTAAATGCCAGTCTTTATCTAAGTGGGTAGTGGCCAAGGCAAATATTTTGCAATTAGGCTGTGGAAAATACAACAGAGCGCCAACAGCCTTCCCCAACAAGAAGCCTTTTCATACCAAATATGTATACAGCTGAGGATCCCGAAAACAATCCCTGCAATGAATGCCATGGGAATGGCCAGAAACGTGGTGAGGATCCGGTAGAAGATGAATTTCACCAGCTCAAACACAGCATGACTGCTGATCCACACTCTGTCAAAGCTGTGCGTGGAGATGGGTTCAGCAATGATGTCTTCAAAACCAACCTGTGGAATCAAACACGAAATTTAAAAATCAATGGTAAACAAACCCTTTAGACTATCAAATTAGCCCACATGTATAAAAAGAGAGTAAGAACCAAATTTATATTTGAACTACACATCATTACTACACATCATTTATTATTTATTGTTATTATTATTTTGTTTCTTTTGAACAAGAAACACATTAACCGGACAATTTAGTCAGAAACGCAAGTTATTAATACAAACATACCTGCAGCTGAATCACACCTGTGCTGATATTCAGTGCAATAGTCTTGTGAGTGATATTAAGTATTTTATTTATTGTATTTTGATATTATCGTTTATATTAAAACAACTGGCACCTTATATGTATTTTCTTCGGTCAGTATTTTTTTTTACCCTTGTGTGTATGTTAATGCAGCATTGTATGCAAAACAATTATGCCAAAAAAGTACTCGAAATTGAATTGAAAAGAAAAGATTATCGCGCATGTGCAATATTCAAATAAAACAAACTCACTCCGAAAATGCATTAATGTGCACGTGAATGGCGGTGCGAGAAAACACTTCTCATCATACCGAAAGGAACTAATATGAGCACCTTGTTAGCGCTTATATCACTCATGTTTAGTCAGTTTTAGACGCAGGTATTTACAAATAAATGATAGTATGTCAGTGATACTGTAAGTCTCGAGTTGTCACCTACCTTTAGGTGCGCGTTAATATCTTTAGGATCTCTGCCCTGGACTTCTGAATACACGTGCGGTTTCCCCCCCAGTATAGGTTCAATCGATCTATTGAATTCATCCTCATCCATAATGACGCTGGTTTCCATTTTTTCTTTTTCAAGCCCCATTTTTTGTTTGTTTTGGAGTTGCGCGGCGCGCACTGCTGTGTGTTGCGCCTGCTGTACGCGCACTGTGCGCTCTGGGCAGGACGCGTCCACGCCCCTCACGCGCAGGCAAAACACACATCGGCACTCAATTCACTGCTCCAAACAAATGTGAACCAACTATAAGAAACATTTCAGGAATACATCTCTGTCTAGCCGTCCTTATCTCGACAAACTATTTATTGAAATAGAACTCAAGGAATGTTATCAGATTGTTATTGTTATTTCCTCTATAGCGTGAACCTAGTTAGAGGATTAGAATATTTTTCTCAGGGGTTTCCTCACATTTTACAGATTCATTCATTCATTTATTCATTTATAGTTTATTAATACAAAATGTTACAATTTTTAAAACTTCAAGCCATAGCTAAATGTTGATTTTCCACAGTTAGTTAATTGCTTTTCACTGGCTTCTTTGAAGAGTGTTTTATTCTTTTTTACTATAAAAAGAATATTCTTTACACACAGTAATGACTATTTAGAATCAAGCAGTCCTGAAATGGTTATTTTTGTTTGAGCTTAGGGTTCTTTATTCTTGCCTTTTTGCTTTTTAAAATCTGTAACTTTCAAAAATCCTAAAAATAAATTGAATTTATTATCCATGTTAGAGTTTTCAATTATTACTTGGTTTTAAACATAAAAAGCAAGCGTTTTCCATTTCTTAGAAACATTACTACTTGAGAAGGCAGTATTTTTCATCTTTCAGACACAGTCGATGACTGTTAGTAGATAATTTGCCTGCCTTAACTTCAGACAATAGGCCACTCTCTGATAAAGTGCTGGTCTTTACCTTCCTATCTGACTTTTTAAAGAGACAGTTCACCCAAAAATGAAAATGTTGTCATTAAAAACCTAACTTTCTTTGTGCAAAATGCAAGGGTGATGAAACTGCCTTATATCATAATGGAAAAAGCCTAATTGAAATAACTGCATTCTTGAAAAGAAAACCATATTAATAGTTCAGCAAAATCTTTTATTATTTTTCTTATGTAAAATAATATTAAGCATGTTATATTAAAAAATGTTAAAATAATACTTTAACAAAATTGCTTTACATTTTTTTGTTACTTTTTGCCCAACAAATCAATGTAGTGCAACCAACAAAGCAAAAAAAACATGAATTAACAATACATTTTTTTAAAAATACATAAAAAAATTTTTTTTAAATAAATAAATATATATTAAACATATATATGTGTTACATGTATGCCTTGTTTTCTGTTCTCTCTGTTGTGACCTAGTTTTTCTGAGTTGCCTGATTATGTCATTCAGTTCACCTGTTGTCTGTTCATCATCTCATTAGTTCCCTTTGTTTGGTTCATGCTTATAAGTCCTCAGTTCTCCGTTAGTCTTCATCCGTTCTCCGTCTATATGTTAAGTTGGTATCCGTGTCTGTTCTCCTGGATTTATCTGATTAGAAGACTTCTCATTGATCTCCTTCATCTTCGTGCAGTTTGTATCACCAACGCGTGACAGAAGAACGGACCGACAACAGTTTTTTTTAGTTTTGTTCCCTTTCCCCCCACTCTTCTGTCACCATGGACATTCCTGCTGTGGCCCTGCTATGCCGCTGGAAGACCACACACAGGACTTTTTACATCTCGCGTGCCTGACTCATTACCCTGATTGCTCGCTCTGACATGTTCTGACCAGGTGCGTGAGCCGGCAACATCGTCTGTTCACGAGGGAGTTTTGGTGGAGATCGAGGGCTTGGAGGGAAGCCCCCCCCACACTCCCGCCACTGAGGGTGAGCTGCAACTGGCCACTGGATATTATGAGGAACTAATGGACATTTTCCAAATGTACTTAATGGACTGGTTTGGGGAGGTAATACCCAGTTCTCCTGAATCTCCTGTGTCTTCGCTGGTTCCGCCCAGCCCTGAATCTCCTGCGTCTCCGCTGGTTCCGCCCAGCTCCTGTTCACTTGTGTTCCCTCCCAGCCTCCCTCTCCTGCCTCCTCTCCAAAAACCAGCTAGTTCCTCAGTCTTATCTCCGCTGGTGCCTGTCAGTCCCTCAGCTCACCCTCAGTCAGCGCCATCTGGGCACTCTGATCTGCTTCGGGACTTCCAGTCTCCAGCTCCGCCTATGCGTGAGGATCCCCTGTCTCCGCCTCCAGCCTCCGAGTCCTGGACTCCACCTCGGTCCTTCGACCTATCCTAGCTCCCTTGTCTCCACCATGGCCCTTCATCCCACTGGCTCCACCAGGTTCCCTCGTCCCTCCAGCTCTGCCTTGGTCAGTCGTCGACCATCCGCCGCCTTGGGACTCCACTCCTACGGCTTCGCGTCGTCACTCTGTCCCTCTGGCTCTGTCTGGCTCCTCCTTTCCTCTGGCTCCACCTTTGTCCTCAGTCGCTCCGGCTCTGCCGCGTTCTTCCGGATCCCTGCCACCACCTTGGTCACCTAAGCCATGAGCTCCGCCTTGGCCCTCCAGATCCTCTGTGTCGCCCTGGCTCTCCGTCTGCTCGGCTCCATCTGGGTCTCCACCTTCAGTGGCTCCGTCTCCATTGTTCGTCCCCAGGATGTCATCAAGGCCTTCTCCACCATGGCTCCTCCCTCCCTTGACTCCACCTTGGGGCCTCGTCCTGGCTGGTCTCTGGACCAACATCTGTCTCCTCCTGCTCCTGGCTTCCCCTTGGCTCCTCCCACCCTCCACTCCCCCTTAGACTTTTTTGGAATATTTTAGTTTCTGCCTTTCTCCTGCTCCACGCCCTCCTCCAGAGCACCCACCCTCCCTCCTCAGTTGGACTTCGTTACGGCGCAGAGACGTGCCTTCCCGGGAGGGGCGAACTGTTACATGTATGCCTTGTTTTCTGTTCTCTCCGTTGTGACCTAGTTTTCCTGATTATGTCATTCAGTTCACCTGTTGTCTGTTAATCATCTCATTAGTTCCCTTTGTTTGATTCATGCTTATATGTCCTCAGTTCTCAGTTAGTCTTTGTCCGTTCTCTGTCTATGTTAAGTTGGTTTCCGTGCCTGTTCTCCCGGATTTATCTGATTAGAAGACTTCTCGTTGATCTCCTTCATCTTCGTGCAGTTTGTATCACCAACGCGTGACAATATGTGCAACACTGGTGATTTTTCACGATTCAGATTTCTTTCTGTGGAACACTAAAAAAGACGTTTAGTAAAATGTCCAAGCTGTCCTTTTCCACAATTAAAGTGGATGGTGACCAGCCTGGGCTGCGTTTCCCAGTTGAGCTAAGTTGATCGTAGCTCCATTGGTGGCAATGGGTCTACGATGTACTTAGACTTATGATGCTTTTAGGAAATGCAACCCTGGTCATTCTGCTAAACATCTTCTCTTGAATAGCACTGCAGATTTTATAATTCTTACCAAATGTCTGAATATAATGATGATCTCTATAACTAGAAGGAATGAAGGGAGTTCCACTGGAGCTGATACACACATAAACAACAAACTCATTGTGTTGTAACAGTCGGGAGGAAAAGGGGAGAGGCCTCATTCTGCTAAACATCTTCTCTTGAATAGCACTGCAGATTTTATAATTCTTACCAAATGTCTGAATATAATGATGATCTCTATAACTAGAAGGAATGAAGGGAGTTCCACTGGAGCTGATACACACATCAACAACAAACTCATTGTGTTGTAACAGTCGGGAGGAAAAGGGGAGAGGCTGCGGCGCTCATAACAGTGGAGCAAAAGCACAACAGTGGGAGTGAAAAGCACATTCTACCCACAAGGACATGCACAATACAGGCCATAATCCCTATGGATAAACAGACAGCTGATTTCCAACAGCACAGCAAAGATGCCCAGACCTTTCCCTCTGCGTGTGTTTGAAGTGGTGATCAGACGTTGTCAGCATCATGAACGGCCACTATGATCTCTACTTTGATGTGGGTGCACTACATATTTTTTCTCTGATTTAAATTGTGAAACAGAGCAATCAGACTTCACTGCTAAACTCTTCATTCAAGGTATTCAGTACTGTAATCTGTGATGAAGGGTTTAGCAGGCAAGTCTGATTGATCTATTCTGGTGCAAGTTAAACAGTCTTTCCCTCGAGGACACGGGACCTGCCCAAAAAAGAAATAATCAGCCAAATCTAAGTCATGTGGTGAACCCAAAATGTAGGGTAAAATAAATAAATAAAAAAAGAAACAGAAAATCTCATTACGAGACCACTGTAGATCCTCATGACTATGTTTCAGATTCAATCATCTCTTAAAATATCACATAATTTGATGTTTTAATAACAAGGCAATGTTAGTTCAGACAGTAAAATGACATGTGGTGCAACTCTAAAAAAAATTGTGTGCACTCACATATACTCAGGGTGTAAGGAAAACTCTTCATCCTACAGCACAAACAGTGCCGGAGATTCTTGATGAATTAACTAAAGGTCACATTCCATGGTCCTGTCTGTGATCTAATTCTACCTGCAGCAAAACAATGATATGAGCACAATGATATCAGATGGGACTTCCTGACAGTCACCTCATCTGCTAAGGCTCTCAGCTCTGTGAATACCGGCACATCATAATAAACCATGACATGCAGTAATCGTGAGAATCAGTCCATAGCAATCTTTCTCTATTGTCATCAGCCTGCAAGTCTGGGACAGCACACTTTCACAAGCAGTAGAATACAATTTCTTGGTACAAAAGTTTAGAGTGAACATTATAGAAAAAACATTCCTGGCTATTACTTGTAGAGTAAACAGAGTTTTGGTGGTCATGAGTATATGATTAAATGAGGTCGCTTTTCCTTTCTTGTACTAGACTGCTATTTTGTTCTGGCGTAAAGGACTAACAAGAGCTTACTGGCAGGGAATTGGCAATCAAAACAGAAGATTTCAATTAAAGTCTTCAGCAGAAGGAAACAAACATTCGGGAACGGCACGTGCTTTATATCATAGCACTGATGAAAGTCTTTGCTTTAACATTGCATAACTCTTTCAGACATAAAAGCGGCCTTTGTTTTGCCATTGACTGCTTATAAAGACCGAACTTAAATCAACTTAAGGAAATGAAAGTAGACTAGAGAGAATACATTAGCCTTCATGCTCTCTGCCAGCATGTACCTTTGTCTATACAGATCAAATTTAGGCATTGTAACTTCTCCAAGCACAATAAACCTGTCAAAAACAACCAATCTGTTCATCTGTACCCA